AAGGAATGAGGTAAAATCCCCTAGGATGGCAGAGCAAGTTAGAATGTCAGGAGAGTGTTCGGTTATACCTGACACCTAAATGTTTTTCTAGCCATATTTCAGCTAGTTGCATGGCGGAGGCAAATGTACTTGCTTTGGACCCTAAACACATCTTGTATTGTTTAGGATCTAGGTTGGGATCACAATGAACTGGATGAAATACATGTACAACTCCCACTTCTTGGCTCCTAAATGCCTTAAGTCCAGAGTTTATTACTTTAGTAAAGAGGTCTACATCCTCAAGTCCCCAGCCTTGAATAGAGGTATCAAATCCACCAGCATTCACAAGGTCACTTTTGTAAATGCAGGTAATCCCAAACCCATAGTCCCTCCAAAACCCAGTTTTCTTTGTGAAAACAAAGTTGCTGTCCACTGGAGGGTTGCCCCCATGTGTTACTTTGGGGTCATACTGACTGAAAATAATAGGGTAATAAACCTGTTGTCCTTGAATGGTGTTAGCTCTGCACCGCTGGAGAAAATCGGGGGTAAATATCAGGTCAACATCGCAAAATAGCAGCAAAGTGTCATTGTCAAACTTAGAGGAGGCCATTTCAAGACCCAAACCTCTAGAGAAAACTCCCGACATTGGAATGACGGTCATGTCTGCCATAGGATACTTCTTTTGATATTCATTGATCAGCTCTGTGTGTTTGCTGGAATCCTGACCAGAATCAGAGTTAAAGAGAATGACTGCCAGCTTTACGTTCTGCTTGGAAATAAGGCAGGTCTTTTCAAAATTCTCCATAAATCTTAGGAATATATCGTATCTCCCTGTGAGAGGGACAAGAATGTGAATCTTCTTGTCACTGATTCCCCCTATTTCTTTGGTGCCTTGGAATGATGAAAAAATTTTCAGAGAATTAGAAAGGAAGGAGAAAGACTGCATGTCGCTGTTCACGTTTTCTACCAGGCTTCTTACATCCAGCTCTTCTTCCTCTTTGAAAAATGGTTTACTAAATAATTGTTGAAGGTAGGCATGGCGCCGAACTGGAACAGTGACTTTTCTTCCTTTGTGCCTCTTATACAAAAGAAGCAAATCCAGAATGTATTCCACACCATGCAAAGGGTCAACCCTACGGTATCCATACTGTATTTCATTGAAGTCAATCAGCCTTCCCCTAGATTTAGAGTTCTCATTGATCATTTCCATTACCTGCATTACAGTATCATCTAATGCTGCCCGCAGGATGCTATTAATACTCTGTCTAGGTGGCTGATTCTCAGCCATTGAGTACAGCAGCTTTCCAGTCAAAAATTCCCATTCAATGACTTCATTCCTGTCACGTGGTTGAAAGCGGTTGAAAGATGGCATCATTCCAAGAAGCTGATCATCTTTGCTGATTTCATCGTTACTGAGCTTGCTCATGAGGGCACTTTCCCGGTGAAGCTGGATGGTACGATAACGCAATTCAGAAATTTTACGGGCCAATATGTAATTGTGAAGCCTATACTGATAGGCTGGCCTTTTATTTGGATGAAGTGTAATGGCTGTGTGAATTTTGCTGTTGTGAAGATCTTGTATATAACCCTTCCGGTTGTGTTCATAGTTTTCATGGAACAACTGCTGCATCTAGAAAACAAAAATAATAACTATTATTAGGTGTGTTTCTTCCAGCTATGATATATCAGGAAAAACAATGACTCACTTATATTAACTTATTTTTTCCTAAATAATACGCTATACTGCAAGCTTGCTTTTCACCATTGAATTATTATTTTTTTAAAAAAGGTTTTTCCAACAATAGTATTTCTCTTCACTCACTCATGTAAGGAAAAGAAATTCTATCTATTTTACAGGAAAATTACTCTATTTTAGAATACAAATGTGTATATTGGGGAGAAGGGTAAGGAAAGAAGAGGGAACGGGAGGACCAGTTAATCAGTTCTTCTAATCTTAAAATGTGAAAACACTATTTCAAGTACATTTTTGTAAGCGTCCAAGTCTCATATTTTTAGTGACCTATTATTGCTACTACAGTTGGGTGGTCGTGTGTACATTTCTGTTCCTACTTGTTATCAATTAATCAAAGTTTTAAAGGAAGTTCAAAGTATAAAAAAATATAAAATCAAAGCCTCAGAAGAACAAATGTGTCAAGTTAGGAGCCAACAATCAGAGTGGGTCTAAGACGTATTACATTCAGACATATTGCCACTTGTTTAGTAATGAATTTATTAGAACCCTTCTACTCAACAGGGTCTCATCTCCAAGGATCAAGCAAGAAACTGCCTCTTAAGGGGATAAATTGTGTCCTCTGACCCCTCTATAGAATCTACAACAGAAAAACACATGAGAGACTGTTTCAAGCTCTGAATGAATGAAAGAACACCATCTGTCCTTGGAAGGAACTTTTGCAAATCTGTCGTCCACGATCTTGGAGGATAAAATGTTAAAATGTGCCAACCAAACTACTCTTCTGCACTTGGCTATTGTTAAAAAATATAGATATGGTGTACATTTGTTTGAAGTAGATTAAGTATGGCACAGTGAGGGTGGTGTACGTGGCCCAGGGGTCAGCAAACTTTTTCAGCAGGGGGCCGGTCCACTGTCCCTCAGATCTTGTGGAGGGCCGGACTATATATATTTGGGGGGGGGGGGGAATGAACAAATTCCTATGCCCCACAAATAACCCAGAGATGCATTTTAAATAAAAGGGCACATTCTACTCATGTAAAAACATGCTGATTCCCGGACCATCCGCAGATCGGATTTAGAAGGTGATTGGGCCGGATCCGGCCCCCGGGCCTTAGTTTGCCTACCCATGATTGTGGCCCCTTAAGCTGATGCATCAAACTTTGCACATTTGTTATCTTTTATTCTGCGTAACAATAGATTTGGTTTGCACTAGGTCCAAGGACAACAGAAAACCAACATTTATTAACATTTGTTTGTTTGTTTTCCGCCCTTCACCCTAAGGTCCCAGGGTGGGTTACAACATTAAAGCACAATATTAAAAACAGTTTAAAACAAGTTAAAATCAGAAAAGCAAGGCGGGTCCTAAAAATGTGCACCTCAAGTGTCAAAAGCCAAAGTTAATAATAATATAATAATAATTTATTATTTATACCCCGCCCATCTGGCTGAGTTTCCCCAGCCACTCTGGGAGGCTTTCAATCAAGTGTTAAGAGGTGCATCTTCAACATTCACCAGAAGCTGTAAAATGAAGGCGCCAGACACACCTCTATAGAGAGTCCCACAGCTTAGGGGGCACCACATAGAATGCCCTTCTCCCAGGCCATCCCCGCCAAGCCTCTGAGGATGGAGGAACTATCATGAAGGCCCCCCCTGCCTTCTTAGCACCCAAGTGTGTGTAGCAAAGAAGGCAGTCTTTCAGATACTTGGAGCCTGAGTCATTTAGGGCTTTAAAGATTAATGTGAACACATCAAATTGGACTTGGGGGGAACTGGCAACCCATGCTGCTGAAATCTTTCCCCACAACTCTCTTCTCCATGTGGATACAAAAGACTCAAGCAACAATGCCAGAGGCAGAGGAGCAGATTCAGAGACCATAATGAATGGAGGATATTTATGCTAAGCTACTGAATGCATTCAGTCCACTTTGAAATTAAGAGCAGCGCTAGCAACAAATGTAGGTATAACTATTATAGCTCAAAGAAGAGCAAAAGAAAATTGAAGTCCAAGGAACCAGACGGAGGCTCCATATAAAACCTGGTTCACAACTTTTGCCGTGCATACCCTAGGGCTGCTAGAGCAATTGCACCTCCTTTTGCGCAGAAAAAAATTTAAGCAATGCTCTAGTGCACCACTATAGCCTTTGCATTTGGTAGAGTCATGAAATCAGATCCCAAGGTACTTGGAAGAATCAACTTGTTCTGAATTATGGCCAGTGGTGGCCCAAGAATATTTGGCCCCCATTTCAGAAAACACCATAACCTTTGTTTCCTTATACTTAATAGTTAGACATTCTTTCCTACAGTAGTCTGCAAATCCAGTAAGCAATCATCAAGAGGTTGTGGCTGCTTGTTTATTACAACAATAAATATTTATTAGCTGCTGATTCAGTAGGACCATACCATCTAGCGTTATCTATTCAACTGCTAAAATGATGTTGTCACTTTCTGGAAAAAGTTCACAATACTTTTTCAAGTACAGTGGTACCTCTGGTTAAGAACTTAATTCGTTCCTGAAGTCTGTTCTTAACCTGAAACTGTTCTTAACCTGAGGTACCACTTTAGTTAATGGGGCCTCCCGCTGCCGCCGCACGATTTCTGTTCTCATCCTGAAAAAAGTTCTTAACCCGAGGAACTATTTCTGGGTTAGTGGAGTCTGTAACCTGAAGCGTCTGTAACCCAAGGTACCACTGTATGGCAATTCACACTGTTGTACTTTCTGGTTTTAGTGAGTAAAAAGACTCACATAGTATAGCAGCCTCACAGGGAGAAGCTAACAAGATATGCAATCCAGAAGGAAGTTAAGGAAGGCGAACCTAAACATGGTATTAATTGTGTTAATGAAATTCATGTGCATGCTTTTTGTTATGTAAATAGCAGCTCTGTGGACCCTTGGCACTGTAGAAGGTTTGAGTTAGCCTGCTGGCTCTCTCCCTTCCATGGTCCTGAAAAAAAATCACCTCTCTGAAGCTATTGTTTGCATTTCAAAGGAAGCTCCCATTGGTGCCAAAGGAGGTTTCTCTTCTAGTGCAAACAATAGCTTTCCTGAGGTGATTAAATCCATTGCAGTGAGAGGCAGAGTTAAACTGCATCTCTTAAGACCCACCCTGTCCCAAGACTGCTCAGGCTTTTCCAGCTCTGCTACATACACTACAAAAAGCATGGGCATTCATCATCATCATCATCATCATCATCATCAATACTCGCTTTTGGATCATTCCTACTAATTATATAATTGTGCAGTTCTTGATGAATTAATATGAATAAGCTGAACCCCACCAAAAAATGTTGAGCATGTATATGCAAAGTTGTGTGTGCATATCAGGAATGAGAGTGGCTCAGTCGATAGAGCATGAGACTCTTCATCTCAGAGTGGTGGGTTCGAGTTCTACGTTGGGCAAAATATACCTGCATTGCTGCGAGTTGGACTAGATGATCTTCATGGTCTCTTCCAACTATGATTCTATAGCATCTTCAATGTACAGTTCTAGGAAATTTATTTGCTAATGGAGGGATACCAGAGAGGCCTTAAAAGCAGAGATCCACATCTTCAAAGTATCACCTCCTCGGTGTTTTCTCTCTCCTTCTCAGACTACAGTTAAAGCAACTCAGTATTTCTATGGATTACATTCCCATCTTCTCAAATGGGAAATCCTTTTAGCTCTGGGAGAAAACATTATTACAAAACAAGGCCTCGTAAGAAAAAAAAAACACAACGTTTTGAAAGCATTATTAAAAAGAGGACATTTCAAAAACATTTATGCAAACATGCAGAGGCCTGGTACAATGGATTTTATAAGTCTTTGTCCTCCTTTTAAACCATTAGAAACTTTGTTGAAGTACAGAATACACAATTAGGCTGGGCCCCTAGGCAATACTGCACCACTACAAATCCAATTCTGGCCTATTGATTCAAGTCGAAAAATGGAATACAATCAAAGGCAACGTAGAAGGCTCCTACAGAGTGCAAGATTTTCTGCTTTTGACTTGTAGTGACCCTTTTACTTCAGTTTAAGTCACATATTTCATTCTAGTAATACATAACAATTTATGTGATTATCTGTAATTAGCAATGATTCATAGTATTTATCCTGAAAGTATATGACTTCTGAGTCCAGTAGAGGATTCCATTGTAAATGGAGCAGGATATTTCAATTTTAAGGTCACAATGCACAATCCATTCTTTGTCCCCCATAGAAGTCTAATTATCTACAACAGGTCAGAGATGGTGTAGTCCATAATCTAATAAACATTTTCTGCAGAATTCATTACCAGTATATAAAAACAAAATAAAAACTGAGAATCAAACTAAAAGCCAGTTCCCTTGTATAAAATATGTTAATCATTAAGTCAAATAACCTAGTTTCCCCTCAGTGTTTGATGCTGAAGTTTAGCAAATCCAAACCACTGTTTAAGTATTAGATTTAAAAAGCAGTTTGTGGTTTGCAGTGGGAACAGCAATGGCAGAAACTGCACAGACAACTCAGAAGACACACACTCTTTGTAGGCTGCTGTGGTTTACGGTTTATAGCTATATAATATTCCTGAATGCATATTGCTAACTTGTACAATTACGTATTAGCAATATGCATCTGCTTCAGACAAAGTCTGAATACTAAAGTGAAGCTCCACTTCAGTTTGGTATTTGGACCTTCTCCAAATACTCCAAATACTTTGGAACTTTCTATGAGCAGCAACTGCTCTGAAGTCCTGCATCAAGGCTTTATAATCTGTCTTGATTTATGCATTTTTCAATGGGGGCTGGCACCCATTGGGTCTGGTCGGGCAGAAGACCGAAAGGCCAACACTAGATTGCACCAGACCCAATGACTCATTCTAGTCATTGTCCCCATCCTCCTCCCTGTTGAATTCTACAAGGGCATCACTGAGACCAAGAAGGTGTAGGTTGATTCTCTGGACTAAATAAAAGAAGGAGCTCTTATTTGCAGACAGAGATAGCCTGGCCACAGTTACCCAGCAAAAGTGTCAACTCCTAGGGGCCGTGGAGGCTTCAGCCCCCACAATAAAATACGTGAGGGGGCCAGGCCCCCACAAAGTTGATGGGCATTGCCATTCAAATGGTGTGTGTGCACTGCATCATGTGATCAATTATGTGGTATGGGGCTTACCTGGGCACCCACAATATCTTATTTGACTCAGCACTCCTGTTACCCAGACTCTGGTAACTTCTAAGGTGGACTACTGCAAAGTGTTGTACACTGGACTGCCTTTCAAGACTGTTCAAAAACTGCATCTGATACAACACAGACACTAATTCAAATTAGTTGTTGTGAATACCTCTTGTCAGTGCTTAACAGTTCCAATAGCTCCTGATCCATTTCTAAGTAAAATTCAATGAGCTCTATTGTGGGGATGTTCAGGAAGCTGAAGCAAGTGCAAAATTTTCAACTTGCTCACCGGAGCAGCTGATCGCCACCATGTTACACCACTGCTGAAAGAACTGTATTGGCTACCAATTACCCAGCTGTATGCTTAATGGATAAATGCAAGGGTTTGAGGCTTAGCTTTAAGGCCCTACATAGTTTATGTAGGATCTGGGTGCTTGAAGGATTTTCTGTGTCTATGACTGACAGTATCTTTAGATGACCCCCTCAATCTGAGGAGGATGGGAGGCAGCTGAACAGATGACATTCACCAATGACCCCCCCCCCCCCGAAGGCTTGCCTGGCAACCCATTTTGCTAGCTTTTCAATTCCAGGCAGACCTTCTTGCTTTCCCAGGCTTTTTATACATCTACTGAGTTTTAAGACAAATAATATTTTGAATATTATTTTAGTGTTGTTTTTGCTTTTATATTGTAAACTTCTCTAGATAATGTTAACTGAATGGCAATATATAGACTCTATTCTGGTGGCTCCATCTCAGCCACAAAAGGCCAAAGGGTCTCAGATTACACAGAGACATCCATTGTTGACTAATTTGGGCAGCACTTGCCTGTTGAAGGGCTGTGTGTGCGCACTTGCACACACACACACACACACACACACACACACACACACGTCAGTGCATCAGGCTGTTAACCAGAAGGTTGGTGGTTCAAGCACGCCCACCCAGGGACAGCTGTGGGCAGAATTCATGCATTGCAGAGAGTTGAACTAGATCAGAGGTTCCCAACATATTTGGCCTACCCTACCACCCCCTTTTCAGAAAAAAAATATATTACCCAGCGCCCCCCTGGAAATTTACCTTCTTTAAATTACCACTAAGACTTTATGTTACAACAGTAGGTGTCATTACACAACAGATGAAACATGTGCAATACTTCTTCAAAACTGATTAAGTGGACTAGATTAAAAACCCATGGGGAGAGGGGACTGGAGTGACTTCAATACAGTGGTACCTCGGGTTAAGTACTTAATTCGTTCTGGAGGTCCGTTCTTAACCTGAAATTGTTCTTAATCTGAAGCACCACTTTAGCTAATGGGGCCTCCTGCTGCCGCTGCGCCGCCAGAGCACAATTTCTGTTCTTATCCTGAAGCAAAGTTCTTAACCTGAAGCACTATTTCTGGGTTAGCGGAGTCTGTAACCTGAAGCGTATGTAACCTGAAGGGTATGTAACCCGAGGTACCACTGTAATAACAGCAGGGGACTAAAAGGGAAACTAGAACCATGCTAAAAGTTGTTAGAACACTGTCAACGATATCAAACTTTCTTTGGGAAGCTCAACCAGGACTACAAACCCAAACTGTTTAACATATAGCATGGCTTCTATAACAAGATTTATCTTAGCTCAGAATTAATTTTCTTGCATACAGACACATGTTCACACACAGAGGAGCAGCCAGTTCACAAATGAGGAACCGAACATCCTGCCTTCTCTTTCTTCCATTGTTAGCACATAAAAAAAATCAAATTAAGATTTTAGCCCTTATGGTGTAATCAAGGAGATTAAGTACAGCTTCCTCCCAGCTGATTTTATTAACATTAAAGTTTTATGATAAATTATGAACATCCCTAGAGCTAAACATCCAATTAAAATAGCATAAGCATGGCAGGATGTCTATTACAATGTTTTTCTTAGAAGAAATTTTAATTATATTGCCATTATACTTTTCCAGTGCCATAGTTATGTTTTGTTAGGGGATGAGATGAAAATACAGCATTAATTAGCATAAATGTATTCTTAAAACCTTATAGAGAATCAGTCTTAACAAAAAAAAAAAAGTAAAATCCAAGCTGGAATTACATGCTTCACAGAGACTGAAAATACCACATTTACAATTCCTCTTCCATCTTAATAGAGAATTAACAGGATGTTATGGATTGTCGCACTGTAAGGGTTATGAATTAGTTGCTACCGCTAATGAACAAAAGAAAACCCACAGACAATACTACATGATATATTAAGAACAGCTCATAAGCACCCTACACCTCTTCTGTTTTACAGCTCAGCATATGCCAAAATTATAGGAGTGTTGCTATAACCTACCCTTGACACAAAGCTGATCTTAATGCAAGGCTGATCCTACTATGGATGCTACTATCCTGAAAGTGATCTCTCCAACGTCAACTATCATCAGCATACGAGTGACAACCAATTCCAAATCTTATGATGACCTCATTCACTGGCTTCAAATAAATATGCTGAAAACTTAGAATGGATCCCTGAGGGCATCCCCTAATATAAATTCCATGGGAGAAAAGTAAAGCCCATTAATACTACTTTGTAGAATTGGCTTTCCTGGTAGGAATGGAACTAATGAAAAATGGTGATTCCAATCTCCATCCCAGAGAGCCTATCCAGAAGGGTACCATGGCCGATGGTATACCACCAAAAAAATCCAACAGAATCAATTCAGCTGCATTCACCCAGCTTCTCTGGGTAGAGGTCATCGATTATGGCAACCAAGGTAGATTCAGTTCCCAGTGTGAGTGAGATTTCAAACTGCAACAAATATAGGTATTAGTTTCATCTGGAGTTGGTCAGCAACCACACAATTCAACACCTTGCACAAGAAACATCTGTGATTGTTTAATTAGGATTAGAACAACTACCAACCAATCTATAGCCTTTTAATCTCTCTGTGTGTTACTGTTTCTGTTTATAACTATGGTATGTATTTTGGTTTTGGTTTTTTGCTTAGATCATAAGATGTTTGTGGGAGGTTCTATTGTAGAACTGAAAGATGGGGTGTAAATGTTCTAACAAACTGATCTTTTGTTTTTCCTCTTGGGGTTACATTTTCATTTATGTCCATGTCATTCCAGTTTGAATGGAATAGTCTTAATACATTTTGTGACTCATGAGATGATATTAGAAGCAATGTAATCCCTAGGCTGATGGTCTAATACAGTAACAAATGTGATCACAACTCCTTGATATGTCATAAAACCAGCAATCTTGTGCTTGAGACATTTCCAGTTATAAAGAACTATAGC